GCAGCAAGAGCCCTTCGCCCGCCGGTCTAAATTACCGCTACGGGGGAGTCTAGCCCGGGGGGGGGGAGTTTGGCCGCCCTCCAGTAGTTGTAGAGCCGGACAAACCCCTCGGGCTCAACACCCCCGAGCGGTAATTTAGATAGGCGGGCGCAGGGCTCTTGGCTGCCGAAGGAAAACGGCTAACGGCCCGATACTAGTTTGGTACCCAGGGTATCTGTGGATGGAAGTTTATGAATTGAACAGGGTGGGACAGCTGTTTGGTTGTGGTAGATGTTTTCCCTGTAGGTCAACGACCTAATGGCCATATATCATGGTGGGACAGATGTTTTTCACCATTCACGGTTGGTCTATTAAAGCATGTAACTGTCTTTAACTAAAAGCAATAACTCCTAAAATATATAAACATAAGACAATCGTATCAAACAACGAATGATCCTTGACGAAGACATGGGATCTCTGAACTCTAGTCTGATAATTCTTTAGAACATCTTTTACTTTCCGGGTCATCCTTTTGCAGTTTTGAGACTAAGGCCACAGCAAGTAAATTTTATGGATGACATCCGCGCGCGCATTAATTTTCGCCTCATTTTGAAAAAAAAGACAAGAAATTTTGTTGCCCTCTGACAGTGGTCAACATGCCGAAAATGGGCAAAGATGTCTGTTGCCATGTCAGAACGTGGATGGCAGATAATTATGAAGAGAGGAGACTAGAAAAGGCTCTGATTTAATGTTTGTTTCTTACTTTGATGCAGTGATATGTGATGCTGGCTGTGTATATGTGATGTTTCTACTGAATCAAAACCATTTGTACAATGATTGAGTCAAAATTTTAAATTGTAGGAACCTTGGTTTTTTCGGCCCGCCTTGTTTTTTTTTTCGCCCGCTCGCATTAGATTTGGAATCTGCGGAGGATGTCATCCATAAAATTTACTTGCTGTGGCCTAATTATAAAAATTATGAGCTTTACTCAGAATTTCATCATCAAAAGTCATTTTGTACCTACTATAATCAAAAACTATTACAATTATAATTATACCTGGAGGTTATAAAAATGTGTTGTTTAAGACACTTACCACACGTGTTCGCTTTTGCTGAACGTCCTGCAATACATAGACAATAAAAACATGTTAGAACTCATATATGATATCTAGTGGATATCTCGAGAATGGGACACCTAGCGGGTACATGCGGTACTGCATTGAAGCTTCGCATTCTGAGTTTGTAAGGATAAGTAAGAATCCTCTATAAGCAAGTAGAAAAAGTTTGAAGCAGAAACGTTTATTCTTGTCTGCATAAGCATTTAATTGAAAGAGCCTTGTTATGTGTTGTATTTCCACAACTTGAACTACTGACAAACTAACCAACAATCACCAAAAGCCCACTCACTACAGCAACGTACAGACCTCCCACTTCGCAAATTTCGCAAGGGTTCTGTTGTTTTTTTCTAGCTATCCTTGTTTGCATCAATCAATGTAATCCGCAGAGGGTGGAAACCAAAAGGTCTAGTGCAGTATGAAAGACATATAGATTTCTCTTGTTAATTAATCAAATTGGGCCACAATTTACATAATTAATATATATCAATATTCCTCTTCCTCTTGATTAAATATACCACCATTTTAATTGTTCTATCATGGAACGCAGCAGATTGATAGACTTTTGTCATTTATTATGTAAATCAGATCGTGATTTGCATAATTGTCATCTAATTAGGTCAAGCATCACTTAAGCTACCGAGATACCAAAAATAACAACAATCCGTCAACCGGTTCTTGAGCTATCCTACTTCAAACATTTTCAAACAAATGCCTCTGCATTTCCCAAACAAGCTGCTACGGGGCTCAAATTATGAAGAAATGCTAGACTTGCCCTCTTTGTTTAAGATAAGACTGTCATTTGATTGAAAATATGATCAAACGATATAATTGCAAGTGAGTATCTTATTTCCATAATCAATGTGAAACATTCATAATTTGGCAGTCAGAAAGGTTACCATCATTGATCGAAGGCATGGGTTCGTGGAATTCTATTTCTGTATTGGACCAAAATGACATAGTTTAACGAAGAATAACAGAAGTCCTGTGGTTCAATATGCAGACGTACCTCCATAGACCTCCACCTCACAGAGTGTCAGGATTCTGTCGGAGCCTCTCAGAGCTATGCCCACATATCGGCCGGTCCGTCCGCCACAGTCCACCGTGATGACGCCCTTGCCTCCGACGGACTGCGCTCCCCACCAGGTAGGGTTGACAGGTGATGTTATTTCAACAAACAACTGTTAGAATATGTTTCCACGGTTGACAGCTCCCTGCCTGTAAATTGTTATTTTAACCTACATTCGTAGTAACGTTACATAAAACGATCGAGAAGGAGCAAAACCTGGCCTGCACTTATGAAAATGTTCTCACAAAATGTCCCATTGCACTTACCCACTACCTACTAGAGACTCCAAACTTGAAACCCTCAATCTAAACCCCTTGACCTATCCACAATAAAAAAACAAACAAGACATTGCTTTTCCACAACTTGAACTACTGACAAACTAACCAACAATCACCAAAAGCCCACTACAGCAACGTACGGACCTCCCACTTCGCCAATTTTGCAAGGGATCTGTTGTTTCAACAAACAGGAAATTTTTTCCAGCTATCCTTGTTTGCATAAGTCAATGTAATCCGCAGAGGGTGGAAACCAAATAGGTCTAGTGCAGTACAAAAGACATTTAGATGTCTTTTATCGATTAATCAAATTGGGTCACAATTTACATAATTCATATCTGTTAATGTTCCTCTTCCTCTTGATTAAATATGCCACCATTTTAATTGTTCTATTATGGAACGCAGCAGATTTATAGACTTTTGTCATTAATTATATAAATTAGATCGTGATTTGCATAATTGTCATCTAATTAGGTCAAGCATCACTTAAGCTACCGAGATACCAAAAATAACAACAATCCGTCAACCGGTTCTTGAGCTATCCTACTTCAAACATTTTCAAACAAATGCCTCTGCATTTCCCAAACAAGCTGCTACGGGGCTCAAATTATGAAGAAATGCTAGACTTGCCCTCTTTGTTTAAGATAAGACTGTCATTTGATTGAAAATATGATCAAACGATATAATTGCAAGTGAGTATCTTATTTCCATAATCAATGTGAAACATTCATAATTTGTCAGTCAGAAAGGTTACCATCATTGATCGAAGGCATGGGCTCGTGGAATTCTAGTTCTGTATTGGACCAAAATGACATAGTTTAACGAAGAATAACAGAAGTCCTGTGGTTCAATATGCAGACGTACCTCCATAGACCTCCACCTCACAGAGTGTCAGGATTCTGTCGGAGCCTCTCAGAGCTATGCCCACATATCGGCCGGTCCGTCCGCCACAGTTAATCATCAACATGCTGCCCTTGCCCCTGACGGACTGCGCTCCCCCACAGGTAGGGTTGGCCATCACGTTGGGGTTGTCGCCCACGTGAACCGTGAAGCCTTCCAGCCTTTCCGAGCAGCAGTCTAGCCGGTTGACGACGATCACCCGATCCACACACTGGCTGCTGCCCAGGTCGGCTCGCCACCACGGGTCCCGTTGGTTTTGCGGTGTGGGTACAGGACCTAGCTCCATAGAGGGGGTTGCGGTTCCCATCCGCAGCGCGCCTGGCGACTCCCCCATAGGCAGTACTAGACTGGGTCGCAGGGCCGTTCAGGGCAATGTTGGTGGTGCTACCAGCTACAAAGATGAAGAAGAACACAAGAAGTTACGGCCTATACCGTGTTAAGCTAAGGTCCCAATTACGCCGGTGCCCGTCGGGGATGTAGCCCCGGCTGGCCCCGGCCGAGTTCAGGAGTCGAGCGGGCATCGGCTGTCGTGGTCACAATTAAAAGTTTCCTTCAGTAGCATTTTGTTAGAAATTTTGTCACCCTCTTTGGTCGGTATCCGGCAGGCACCCGGCAGGTACCCAGCAGATTCTCTGACGATGTCTTGTATTGACCTATACGTAATGCAGAATTCACGTATTTGTTGTGATCTTTTGATCTGTGAGGTCACACATTTTACCCGGGTTTACGAAGTACACACCTTTATTCTGTTCATCTGGTCTGTGACGTAAGAAATGTGTCCCGGTGGAATGCCGGCAACCGGAGGGGTACCTCCCGGTGTTCTCACGATGAGGTCACGGCGTCTTTTTGTCAGCGGGGCCCGGGTAGAATTTAACTCAGAATTAAATTCTTATCGGGGCCCCGACGGGCCAAAAAATAGCCCGGTAGTCGCAGGGTGCCCCGCGGGGCCACGTCGGGGTCCCGCCCGAAAGTGGTAAAAAACAGCCCGGGAACTACCCGCCAGGGCCCCTTTTCCCAATTGGGACCTTAGCTTAACAGTGGAGGTTTATAGGTGCTACCAACGGACGCGGCCGCTGGATTTAGACCTTTCGGCCGAGTGGTTAGAGCGTCTGCCTGTGGCCCGGGAGCCGTGGGTTCGAACCCGGCCCGGGACCAGGGGTCTATAGTTCCATACCAACTAGTAACTTTATTACTTGCCATGCATTGTACCCGTGACAATCGTTGTGCGATAAACTTTGACTTGACTTGACTTTATCTGTTTCTACTCGTTCCTACTGTTTCTTACAATAGTACTAACCTCTAGGACTAATTTTGGAACAATTAAAATACGGATGAAATAAATGTAGATATAAACGCAGCATACTCGGTTAAAGGTCCAGGTATATCTGTTTCTAACTTCTTACTTCACTGCCAAGCTTACATTTAGCAGCGTCTTGTTCTCTTCGACCAACCTTTGGGTTGTGGGACACATTTTGGACATAAATTCTCTATCTAATAATTCTTTACAACATCTTCTGCGGTTTTGAGACTAATTGTAAAATTATGAGCTTTACTCAGAATTTCATCATCAAAAGTGGACGGTTTGTAACTACTATAATCAAAAACTATTACAATTATAATAATACCTGAAGGTTATAAAAATGTGTTGTTTAAGACACTTACCACACGTGTTCGCTGATGCTGAATGTCCTGTAATACACAGACAATAAAAACGTGTTAGGACTCATTTATATATACAATAAATAAATTATGATTCTGTAGATAGATCCTGTAGATAGAGACGTAGCACAGAAATGTAACACTTGTTTCTTCTATACCTGTACCCAAGTTATCTAACTTAGTGCATTTGGCCCATGTAGGGCGTGAATATGCAATTAAGTTCATTGTCATTGTCATTATGGTATCTAATGGATAAGTGGGGCAGCAAAGACGAAGGTCAAGTTCGAGAATGGAGCACCTAGCGGGTACATGCGGTACTGCATTGAAGCTTCTGAGTTTGTAAGGATAAGAAAGAATCCTCTATAAGCAAGTAGAAAAAGTTTGCAGCTGAAACGTTCATTCTTTTCTGCATAAGCATTTAATTGAAAGAGCCTTGTTATGTGCATGCATAAATGTCCGTAACCATTTTTACGAAGTTTATGCTACCTAACGCGTGATACTAGCATATCAACACTGTGTTTCAGACTAACAGATGCGACTAACAGAAAACTTTGTAGTCTACGCAGGCACTCTGAACAAGAATCTATCCCAGGGGAACAGCCACACCTAAAACATTTAAGCAAGCATTAGCATTTAATTAAAATTGCCTTATTATGTGCAAATCCATAAATCCATCCTAGGCGAACAACCACACCTAAAAACATTTAAAGCAAAACATTAGCATTTAAGTAAAATTGTCTTATTATGTGCAAAAACTTCGTAGTCTACACAGGCACTCTGAACAAAAACCCATCCTAGGCGAACAACCACACCTAAACATATTAGCATTTGCCTGAAAAGAGCATAATTGTCTAGTCAATGTATGTGGAAACGTAGTCTGCGTCGACAATTGACACAAAGTTATACTAGTAGTCTCCACCAGACTCCTTTGCAGGCTCTATAAATATAAGAAATTGGCATAAAAATCATTGTAGCTAACCAAGGAGAGCTAACTGGCCACGGAAGGCCCAAACACCAAAGCTCTATATGAACGGCTAATTCCCCTGGCTAGCTACATTGATTTCTAGGCCGATTTGTACTATTTATGCATACTAGCACCCATAAGTACTAAATATCAACAGTGCAATTCAGACTAACAGATGCGACTAACAGAAAACTTTGTAGTCTACACAGGCACTCTGAACAAAAATCTATCCTAGGGGAACAGCCACACCTAAACATTTAAGCAATCATTAGCATTTAATTAAAATAGCCTTATTATGTGCAAAACTTTGTAGTCTACACATCACTCTGAACAAAAACCCATCCTATGGGAACAGCCACACCTAAAACATTTAAGCAATCATTAGCATCTAATTAAAATAGCCTTATTATGTGCAAAACTTTGTAGTCTACACAGGCACTCTGAACAAAAATCTATCCTAGGGGAACAGCCACACCTAAAACATTTAAGCAATCATTAGCATCTAATTAAAATTGCCTTATTATGTGCAAAACTTCGTAGTCTACACAGGCACTCTGAACAAAAACCCATCCTAGGCGAACAACCACACCTAAACATATTAGCATTTGCCTGAAAAGAGCATAATTGTCTAGTCAATGTATGTGGAAACGTAGTCTGCGTCGACAATTGACACAAAGTTATACTAGTAGTCTCCACCAGACTCCTTTGCAGGCTCTATAAATATAAGAAATTGGCATAAAAATCATTGTAGCTAACCAAGGAGAGCTAACTGGCCACGGAAGGCCCAAACACCAAAGCTCTATATGAACGGCTAATTCCCCTGGCTAGCTACATTGATTTCTAGGCCGATTTGTACTATTTATGCATACTAGCACCCATAAGTACTAAATATCAACAGTGCAATTCAGACTAACAGATGCGACTAACAGAAAACTTTGTAGTCTACACAGGCACTCTGAACAAAAATCTATCCTAGGGGAACAGCCACACCTAAAACATTTAAGCAATCATTAGCATCTAATTAAAATTGCCTTATTATGTGCAAAAATTTGTAGTCTACGCAGACACTCTGAAGAAAAACCCATCCTAGGCGAACAAGCACACCTAAACATATTAGCATTTGCCTGAAAAGAGCATTATTGTCTCGTCAATGTATGTGGAAACGTCGTCTGCGTCGACAATTGACACAAAGTTATACTAGTAGTCTCCACCAGACTCCTTTGCAGGCTCTATAAATATAAGAAATTGGCATAAAAATCATTGTAGCTAACCAAGGAGAGCTAACTGGCCACGGAAGGCCCAAACACCAGGCAGATTGGACTCTATATGAACGGCTAATTCCCCTGGCCAGCTACATGGATTTCTAGGCCGATTTCTACTATTTATTCAGCATAAAAAGGAGTATGGTGGAGACCAGCAAAGTTACCACCTGGAAAATACAGAAAACACTACATGGCGAGGGTAAATGTCCATTATCATTTTTACGAAGTGTATGCATCGCAAGGCCATGTTTCAGACTGAAAGTATATTCAACAACATTTTGTAGTGAGTAAGCTTCGTCAGTTCACTGGCTTTTCCAGTTAATAAGAACACGACTTGTGGCTAAATGGACATGGCTAAGTTTCCCTAAATTAACACACAAACGTGTTGTAAAAGAAAAAAGGACTCATTTTAAAATGTATCCATTGTGCCAATTCTTATATGGTCAAAAGCTTCTGCCCAGTTCAACTGAAAATACATTGCCAGAGGTGCGAGCAGACTACTCAGTGTCAGCGAGCTATTAATTTCTGTAGTTGAGCTTTCTGAAATACGATTAAATATAAAAGAAAAAGTCACAAAAGTTTTGGGGTTCCCAGAGAATGTCATTCATATGATCAAATCAACATGGCTTTAAGTCTTGAAACATAGCAAACAGTCTGACCTACCAAAGATACATCTAAAACAGTCGCAGGAACACGCTCTAAACACGCAAAAAGGAAAAAGCGCCCCTAGTATTTCCTTTTCTCAAATCACCCTGCCGTTAGAAGATATATTGACTTCTTCTTTTTTCATAATTCAGTAAGTAAAGTAGCAACAGGCACAAAAAGAAATTAAGAAAAAAAACTCACCCAGGAGGAGAAGAACCGCGAAGAGAGTCAGACTGCCCGCCATCTTCAGTAGCGTCCGAAGAAATAATAAGTTCTTAGCCGCAGAGCTTCAGAGCTCGCCTCGGCTTGTCTAACTGGTTGTATTGCCTTCGAAGAGGTCAAACCGGTTATTATAATAAGCCCAATGCAAATTACTGTCCTTAGCTAATTACAAATAACAAGGATACAATGAAGCAGAGTACAGATAACTAAAAACTCTACATAATTAAGGGTAGTTGTCTGAAACTGTGTCTACAAATTTTGGCTTCTCTTTTGTAAACCATGGAAAACGCGATGGGCTCTTATGGGGGTTTTACTCCAGGTCTTTTCAGCTCTTGACCTTGAAATTATTTCTGAGTTCCAAAATACCCGGAATTAATCAGTAAAGAACCGTTTAATTAAAAGACATTTTAATTGGAAGCCTTTCTCTACCAGATAGGTTTGTGAGACCTACAGTACAGTATTATGTGCAATTTGCAAGAATTCTAGGAATTGTACACAAATTTTGTCCACTGGCATGAAATGTCCACAGGAATTCTCCCAGGTCTGTTTGTTGACATCCTCTGATGCCCTCATCCATGGAAACCCTTGAAAAGACCTTTCTGCCCCGGATGCCCCAGTTTGTGTGACCTGGGGCTCGATCACTATACACTCAGGAGAGGGGGGGCACCAAGGCTTCCTCAAAATCATGAAATCATGACAGTGCCATGCAAACTATAACCCTAACAGCAGCCACCATCGCCATGGCAATGTATGTTTTCATTGTCAGCCTTGTTTGCCATTGTGTTTTATGTTTTGAGCAGAAGGTGTCATATAAGCATATCTGTGCATTTCACCTGATAATAAATATATGTGAATAAGTAAGATTAATGACATGCCACGAGTCCTGACAAGCCACCGATCTTGTGTCCTTGGGAAAGGCATTTTGTATGACTTTCCTCACTTAACTGAGGTGAAAATGAGTATTGTATTGTCCTCTGTGTTGGGGGCGGCATTAATATAAGTTGAAAAAACTTGAGTATGCTGTCTTCGCGTATGCCTCCTTGACAGAGTTACACAATTAAACATTCCATTCTTAGATATTAACAACTTATCCGATAGTGCTATGGTATATCTGTTACTTAATGGTTCACCTTTACTTTCATCTAAACTCAACTCTCAAATACTTATTATTATTACACAGCTATATCTCTCTAAAACTAAGCGATTTAACAATTGATTTATATTTATGTTCTCATTTAAAATATCTTAATAGCTAAACTTTGTTCTCTTGTTACCTGGACGATGCCCATGTTTTGTGTGTAATTTTTATCTAATGTCTAGTGGTGACGTAAATATAAGCATTTTGCTTGAGTGCGTCACCACTATGTATTGTATTCTTTTTCTGTGTTGAAATATGCCGTCACTACGTCATCCACTACGTCATCCACGGTTCTGGATAGCCTCCATATATACCCAGTATAAGCACGTAGACTTGTCCCAGGCACGGTTCTGGATAAGTGTTGTCTGTCTATAACAGTGTCTGAGCATGGTAATAAGCACGGTTTCCGATAGAACGGGCGATCTGTTGTCAAACATTTAAACACGAGTAAGGAAAACTGACCTTGATGTCCAAACAGCTAGGGGATGGGGGGGGGGGGTGGATTCGTTGCTACTTACACGAATCAGCGTTTTACTGTGATTTTTCGTCCTCCACAAGCCCATTATCTCATTAGCAAAGCTATTTTCCACTAATTACGTATAATTACCAGTTGGCTTAACATTAATCACTTCGATATAAGGCCTCTCACTG